GCCACTTCCGGCATCGCGGGGCCCGGGTCCCAGACGCCCCAGGCGGCGGCGGCGGAGCGGCGCCCCCCGCAGCAGGTAATGCCCGCCCGCCCCGGGCTCGGTTGCCCGGTCCGGGTCTGTACTCCACTGCCGGGACCCTCTCCGTTCTCGGCCGGGCTCCCTCCCCACCAGCTCGCGGGCGACGGTACCTGCCGAGCTGGAGCCGGGATCACCTATCCCGGGACCCGGTGCGACTCGCTGGACCTCTCTGAGCCTCCCTTTCCACGAGCGTGAAGTGTAAGCAAGGACAGGACATGCCGTCCGCGGGCGCAGAGCGAGCGCCGAGGAGGGGGCTCGGGCTCCCCGGGAGGGAGCCGTGCCCGCCGCCACCCAAGCCCGTGTGCTTGTGGCAGCCCTTGTTTATCTCGGCGACACCTCCCCCGGCTGCGCCTCTGTAGCGGCCACCACTGTCTCCAGTAGTTGAGTCAAGAGGGTCTTAGCACCTGCTGTGAGTCGAGCCATGTGTCACACACGACCGGACGGGGAGTGAGTCAAAACCTACCTGATGGGACAGGGCTAGGCTTCCGAGGGGTGCCCTGCTTTGGCGGGGCAGAGAACGTGAATGGACTGCACATCACATCGTCATGGTGATTGTCAGTGTCATGGCAGCGTCTGGCGAGAGCCGCCAGCAGTCAGGCAGGGTGTCCTGTAGGAGGTGTGAGGTGTGAGCTGAGACGTTAAGAACGGAGAGGATTTGCATTGGAGAAAAAGGGGGACAGCACGAGGAAAGGCCCAGAAGGATGATGATTAAGCGTAGTGTCATTCAGACCCCCTCGTTGACCTCTGTCCCTCAGGAGTGGCTTTCCCCTTTCATCAGGCCCTGGTTTTGATATCCCCGATTTTCTCATTTGGCATCAGTTTCAAACATTCCGTCTTACTTTCTCTATAAAACAGTGATTTTTAGCTCATAATATTTTCTTACTCCAAAAGAGGAAAACCCTTGCTGGGATTAAATAATAAGCCTGTTTTACCATTTGGCCAGGAAGAAAAGGTAGAATTTTCTCAAATTTCCCCCATAAATTTGCTTAGAACATCCGGCATCTTCGCTATGCCAGGCGTGGGGGATGCAGAGCTAGCTGCCTGAGCTGGGATCTTGCTGTGAGGAACCTGCCGATGAGGAGCAAAGACCGACGTGCCCACAGCTGCTGTAGCAGAGGTGCGGATGCCCTGCCAACCCACGGCCCGCTCAGCCCGGGGCTGGGAGTTGGGGGAGAGGGGAGTGGGCATGGGAGGCTTCCTGAGGCGGCGACACCCGACGCATGTAGGTCACTTTTACTCTGTTAAAGTGCAGTGTCATGACTTCACTTATTTACTTATTGGCATTGTATGTGATGTTCTGCAAAGAGCTACCTGGCTTCCAGGTGCGCCAGCACTCAGACTGAGGACAGGACAATCTCCTCAGCCACTGACATCCTGACTCTTCTGAGTCCGTGTCTTGCTGTCCAGCTTTCTTTTTTTAAAAGGATGACCGGTAAGGGGATCTTAACCCTTGACTTGGTGTTGTCAGCACCACGCTCAGCCAGCACGCTAACCGGCCATCCCTATATGGGATCCGAACCCGGGGCCTTGGTGTTATCAGCACTGCACTCTACCGAGTGAGCCACGGGCCGGCCCCTGTCCAGCTTTCTGAACTGAGGAGCATTGACTTCCCTCCTTACGATGTTCCTCCCAAGCAGCGTCACTCTTGATATCTTTCTACATCACAAATGGCCAGTTAGTTTTCCAAAAGATCATTTTTGGGGGTGCGTTTGATGATGTAGACCTGTCTGCCCTTCTTTCCGTGGGAAAAATGCATCTGCCTACCCCTTGCCCCAGAATGTCTGCATTTCCCTGTTGCTGGTGAGAATAAACAGCCCTTTTCCCGTCTCTGGTGCGGTGGTAGGGCCTCTCCTAGCTTCTGGTGGAAGGCTGCCTCCCCCTGTGAGACAGTATCAAATTCCCGCTCAACCTTTCACGCTGTCGGGCCTCTGCCACTTTCTCCTCTGTGAGGCACTCATCTGGCTGCCTTCTGAGGAGGAGGCCAGGGCCCCCCCAGCTCCAGATTTTGACAAGCCTGTCGGGTTTGAGGAGGCTGAAATGGCCCAGCCTTGCTACTTGGGGACTGTGGAGGGCAGAAGAAGAAGCTGCCCCTTGATTTTATCCAGCAGGCGTCAATTCATTCTGATCTGTTTTGGTTTCTGAGCCCCCACTCTGCGAGGCTTCTGTTTGACCTCCTTTGTGCCTGCAGTCAAAGATGACAAGGAAACTGGGGCTCGCCCGGTGGCGCACTGCTACAGTGCGCCGCTTGGGAAGTGCGGCGGCGCTCCCGCCGATATAAATTATATTGTGTTCATCTAACTGCATCAGATATGATGTCAATTTGCTTCATTATTGGTGATGTTACATTTAATCATCTCTCCATGGTAAAGGTACCTTTTCCCCTTTGTATTTAAAAAGTAGTCTGTAGGGGCCGGCCCGGTGGCGCACTGCTATAGTGCGCCGCTTGGGAAGCGCGGTGGCGCTCCCGCCGCCGAGGGTTCGGATCCCACATACAGACCCGCCGCTCACTGGCTGAGCGAGATGCGGGAGCAACGCCGAGGGTTGCGATCCCGTTGCTGGTCCCGGTCGGTACGGGCGCGACACTGAGGGTTGCGATCCGTTGCCGGTCACGAAAAAAGACAAAAAGGAAAAAAAAAAAAAAAAAGATGACGAGGAAACCAATGATTAGTAAGTGAAGTGTCATTCAGATTCCCCCTGGTGACCTCTGTCCTCAGTGGCCTCTAGAGAGGACAGGATACTTCCTGCCTGCCTTCAGCCCTTATCAAATGCTTTCTCCTTTCCCAGGAAGGGTTCCCACTAGGCAAGTGACCTTCTTCATTAAGCCTGAGGTTTCTGAGTGGCAGCGGTGGCTAGAAGTACAGTTTCCTGAATGAGTGAATCAGTAGTGACGGGGCCAGACTGTCCCACTCCAGTCTGCAGGGCCACCCCAAGGGAGCCTCCAGTGGGAAAGTTCCAGGCTTGGGAAGTTGCTTTCCCATCCAGCACAAGTCTGGCAGTGGGTGACAGACATAAGATGCACACCATTTCTTCATCTAGGGACCCCACGGTCTGGGTCAGGATCTCACAGCCACCGCGGGAAATGTGGGGTGGGGCTGGTGAAGGCATCTGAGCTGGGACTCTGGGAGCATTGTCTAGGGCTAGAGATTCTTAAGGTGGAGATTGGGGTCAAGTGTGGTGGAATTTTCTAGAATTCTGTGCTTCCTAGAAGGAATAGGATTTGGGTTAGCCAAGAAAGGATGAAAGGGTGTTCCCAGGTTAGGAAATGGGGTGGGTAAAGGGAGGTGACCAGGTACAGGGTGTTGTGGCAAGGGTAGGCCAGGCTAGGTTTGCTTTGGATTGGTTTGAAGCAGCTGGCAGGGGTCTAAGGTTTGGGTGGGTGCTACCTGAAAGTGGTCCTTGGGCAGATGGTCTCCTGAGCCTTCCAGCAGAGTCCAAGGCCCTGGCAGCAGCAGGAAAGGGGTCCTGTTCCTTCTGGCTCTTCAGGTGTGACCAGTGTGGGCTCCAGGATCCCCGCCTTGGAACTCAGCCATGGTAGCGCCGAGCTAGCACATGCTTGGGAGGCTGGCTGTGACTCTCAGTGGCAGGAGTGATCATCTCCATTTTACAGATGAGGAAACCAAGGCCCAGAGAGGGGAAGCCACTCCCCTGTGTACACACAGTGGGTAAGTGGGGGAGGTGGGATGGATGCAGGTGGCCAGGCCCCAGGCCCTGGCCATGCCTGGTGCCTCCTGCTCACCTCCATGGGTGCTACAAACCTCTGGGCGCCCAGCACGTGTCAGGCTCAGCACTCAGCACTGGGCTGCTGTCTTCACAATGAGACTGGGAGAGATGTGGAGTTATGGGGTTGAGTGCCAATACCTTACAAAGTCAGGTGGGAAGGAAGGCCTGGCTCTCTGCAGAAGGTAGGAGTGGCCCCAGCAGCTGCCCCGGGCAGCCCGTCCCCAAGCTGGGCCTCGGGTGACGTCCAGGCTGCCCGTTTTAGTCGGGAATCCTGAGAGCAGACCATGTGTCTACCGGGAAGCTCTTGAGTCCAGAGAGTCAGGTCAGGGAGAGGGAGGCCGGTGAGACCAGCGCTGCCTTGCACAGAGTGCGTTTGGTTTTGTTTCTTCTGAGCTGACTGAGACAGGGAGGGGTGGCTGCAGGGACAGGCTGCCCCCGCCTGCTACGCTTGCTAATGGTCAATGTGGCTTTTGAGGGGCCAGCAGGGCCTCCTGTTTTGTCTGGGGCGGGAGCTATGAAGCTTGCTGGAGGAATAGTCGGTGCTGTGGTCACTGGGGCCAGGTCACGCTCTGTGGTGGGGCCGCCCTGGGCACTGCTGGTGTGGAGCAGCGTCCCTGGCGTCTCCATACTCAGTGATGGTGGCACCCTGCTGTGGATTGAATGTCCCCCCAGAACTCATTGCAGCTTGACCCTTATTGTAACAGTGTTAAGAGGGTGGGAGGGATATCAGACTGTGGCAGTGTTGAAAGGTGGTGCCTTTAAGAGGTGATTGGATCATGAGGACTATGCCCTCGTGAATTGATTGATCCATTCATGGAATAATGGTTAATGGTCTGGTGGGTTGTCATGGGAGTGGCTTCATAAGGAAAGCAAGTGAGCGTGTTGGAGAGCTCTTGCCATTCTCGCCGTGTGGTACCCTGCATCACCATGGGATTCTGTAGGGAGTCCCCACCAAGACAAGGTTCTCGCCAGCTGTGCCCCCTGGAGTGTGGACTTCCCAGCCCTGACAGCTGTAAGAAGTAAACCTTTTCTCTTTATACACTACCCAGTTTCAGGTATTCTGTTATAAGCAACAGAAAACGGACTAGTACACCCCACACCCCACCCCTAGTCGTGACAGCCACAAATGTCTCCAGACACTGCCCAGTGTCCCTGAATCGCCACTGGGGAGAACACCTGGTCACAGGCAGCTTCTTGCTGAGGCCACCTTATTTTCTTTTTAAGCCTCTTCCAGGAAACTCCTGAGTCCAGGGGTGGCCCCTGAGCAGGGAACTGAA